AGCAAGACCTATGCAACAAGAATTGTAGCTTTTGGATCTGATAAGGTCAATGAAATCCCCTCAGGATTTATCCTGAGATCCTGTACCTCAGATTGCAGATCCTTTGTCAGTGTCAGCCATGTGGATGAGTCACAGTCATTGCTTGGCCAATATGCTCTCTGTGAAAGCCTGAGAGAATGTTTTCTCTCCAGGTGACTCTCCTTAGGCACACTCTACATCATCGATCACTTTTCTCTTTGGCCCCATAATCTTCTTGATCAGAAAATTTGGGACACTACTGAGTTACATGATGTTACAGTACAAGTTCTCATATGTCCTGAGTCTTAATTGACCTTAGAAGGCCAGGGCCAAAATGTTGGCTTTCCTTGCGGCCCTCCTTTTTCTCTAATTTTGATCTGCAAACTTAGGTTGTTAACCCTCCAGAAGACAAGCTTATTGTTATTACCATACAACCTAGGCTGTTAAGCTTAACCTCACTATGTCTGAATATCAAACATCTTAGGCATAACATGGAACAGGTATTTTTCATCAAGTGTTGATATGTTGAACTTTAAGTTCCTACAGAATATGATGAAAAAACATTAAAAAATTAAAATATATTTTGAAAATAGGCATAAAGAATTATATAATTCTTATGTTTACACATAAGTCCAGAAATCTCACCATATACAACTTGTAGCAGGACAGTCCCACAACATTCCTTTTTCTGTCTCCTGCCTTCATTCACCACCCCCTTCTTTTTGAACAATCATCTACCCAAGAGACAGCACAGCAGCAACTAGCATGTCATGACAAACAGCCCATATTGAGAAGACCAGAATGACAGGCACTCCAAGCATGAACCTACTGTTATAAATTGCCATCTTCAGTGTAGTTGCTTAGTTCACAGGTGTCATTATACATAGTTAGTCAGGGTGAGAATCTTTCCAATTAACAACTAGATTCAAAATTCTTCTGAAGATTCTCAGGATCATTGCCTTACCCATTTTCTACATATAACTGTATGACTTGCCACTGTCATGTTTCCTAGCTCTTCTCCTTTCCCTTTTATAATTATTTAGTCCTCAAGTTCTTGCTTTCCTTTTAGTTGTATTATATCTTTCTATTTGTATTTCTTCTTTTGAGTTCTTATATTAGGGATGTCCCCAAATTTCTCTACCTCTCCTGAATCTTCCTTTTCCCCCAAACTTCCAGTGTTGACTTTCAAAGCTGTTCTGTCTGGAGGAAAGGATGGGCTATTGGCAACTTGGACTTACTTCAAGGCTTGGATTCCAGCTTACTCTGATAACTTCAGGAAAGGTGCTCAAACTTTGTGAACTTTCATTTCTTCTTCTTTATGTGGGACATAATAATCCTTTAAATAGTGTTGTGAAATTCAAAAGAATGAATGTGAATGAATGTGCTTGGAAAATGTGAGGCCTTGTAAGGATCATGGGTTGCTGACCTTTACAGCAGGGACATGACTTACAGAAGGCAGTGATGTTCTATGTGTGCAAGTGTCTTTACACTCATCACCTAAGTAAAGGAAGGTAGGAGAACAAAATCCATATTGTCTCTTGGTATGGCTCACCCAGTGCAGTGTCTACACGGTGTTCGAGAAGATGTAGACATTCTTTCTTAAATACCATTTGCTTACATGTATAAAAATCATATTGTATCCTTAGTGTAAGAACTCAAAAGAAAAAATAAAGACTGAAGGGTATAACAGACACAGTTAAATGGAAAGAAACAGAACTTAAGGATTAAACAACAAAGAGAAAGGAGAAAAGTTAGGAAATAACGTGGGGCAAAACCATACATGTATATATACAAGTTGGATAAGGCAATAGTCCTAAGAATTTCCATCAGGTTTTTGAAAATAGCAGTTAGTGGGTAGAATTCTCACCCTGACTAACTCTCTATGTTGATATTTGTGAACTAAGCAACTACACTGAGGACAGCAATGTGTAATACTAAAACCATGCTTGAAATACCTGTCATCTTGGTCTTCTAAATGTGTGCTATTTCTAATGTCATATCAATTATTACTATACTCTCTTTAAAGTAATTTTTTTAAAGGTAATAAAAGAAAATGAGAGTCAAGAACAAAAATTGAAGATTTTTTGAAAGCATGTGGTAATGTTCAATCGTATGTCCCATCTTGCATAACTATATTTATTAATCTGAGCAACAGATTTGAGGATAAAAATAGATAATATATCAACCATTGGTAGTCAGCTATTCTTGTTCTGAAAATCTGTAATATATGTATTATTGTATATTACCCTGTTTCTGTCATTGTTTTCTGATTTTTGTTTTTACTTTTGTCTTTTACTTTTCAAAATGAAATAATAAAATTAAATTTAATAAAAAATACCATTCCTAGTAACTAGCTGCTTTCTCTTTCCTCAATTCTATTGAATAAGATTTCTTATTTGTTCCTTAGCCACCTCCATGGCTAAACCTGGGCTCTACTCTTTTAACCACCAGTACCTACTAGAAGATGTTGGAGGCATTCTAAGGTGTTACCACAACCATCTTCTCTGCCCTCTGGCTCTTTTAGTGGCCCCTGTGGATTGAACAGAGTCCTGGACTTCTGACTTGGTTTGAATCCTTGTCCCAAGAATTCATCATCTGCTTGTTTTTTAGGTCTGGGGTCCCCATCATTCCTGGTCCAATCTCATTCTTCTTCTCCACCTTATCCCTGCTTATTCTTGTTCCCATAGTCAAGGAAACTCGGGAATTTCTACACTCTCTCCAGGGCTTTGCTTTTAAGCTTCATACTATAGACCAACCACATGATTCTTCATGATGGTTCTTCAATTTTGAGGCTAGGACTGGACTTTGAGATCAATCAATCAATTGTCATTCCAAATAGACTATTACTGATTTTTTTTCAACATGCAAGCATAAAGCTTAGCATTAGGTGCTCTAGTCATATAGCAACAACATAGTAATAATAAAGACTCTCTGCTGTCCTTGTCAAACATATTACGATTTTCAAAGCACTTTCTCACTTCTTGGTTGACTCCCAAGTTCTCAGTATTTGCACAAGAAAACAGAAGAAAGAGTTGAGCTTTCTGTACTTGGTTCACAGATGAGGAAAACATGGCCTTTCCTGAGTCTAAATTCTCCTGTCATCACAGCAGCTAGCCTCTGGGCTGGCTCAGGAATCGGTTTCCACATCAAGATCTATGTCTACAATAGCTCATTGCTTCTGGAAGATCAAGGCACCCAGCACAGGGTCAAATACTACCTCCAAATACTATGTTCAACCACTATCTCCAACTTAGGGTTAAAACAGTTATTTTAGGCACTGAGTAGAACAATAAAGTCATTGAGGATTTGTTTGTTAAAGGCAGCTTAGAAAAAAAGTAGAATAGAGGATGCAAGAAGATTGTTATGGATCTAGAAATGGATTTCTGATTATGACATGTCTACTAGGAATTGTGATGCTGGCTGCTCTAGTCCCCACAAGACCAGTGTATATGTGTGTGTGTGCATGTGTGTGCAAATGTGTGTGTCTGCTTTTCCTTATTCTCCTTCTTTCTGGAACCCTGTAAAGGTTTTTGGGAGAATTTTCCAGGGACTTTCTATACAATACTTTCTGCAAAACTATGTCAGCAACAACAGTGTTACTTGCCCCTCCCCAAGGAGGAAATTGAAAGATGTCGTCTTGAGAGCCCAATATGTTCTTCTAATCTCCAACACTGATAATTGTTCCAGTGGAAAAAAAATCTTGAGTCTTTAGAGCCTTGGTACCAGTGACTTGTTGCTTTAGTCATGAAGACATATGTTTGGCACTAGAAGGTACAGCACATAAGGCAGAATGATTCACTACTCAGAGCCCTTGATAAATCAGTTTTCCCTGCTCTATCTATGACTGAGGTATGCATTTCCATGAAGAATTTCCCCAGCAATAATTTTTAACGCTATGAGTTTTCATAATAACCCAAATTGTACATTCTCCTATCCTATCACATGGTGGGGTTGTTGGGAGCTAAGCACTGTCAAAGGATCTCATGGCCTCTTCCATCAGTAAGAGGCTTATACGACTAATTTTTACCCATTGGCTATGAGACGAAGGTGAATAGGAAGTAGTGTGCCCCACCTCCCACCTTTTCTTTCCTAGTCTAGAGCTAGGTGTAGAGGATCCATCATGAAACATAGAGGACTTAGGAGATGTGAAGCCACAGAAAAGATCTGTGGGGATTTCTGAATCATCAGTGGGAAAGATATCCACTTGGACTTTCTACAAGGGAAAGATGAAGTATTTTGTTGAACCACACAGGTTTGGCGGTTGTTTATTTTTATAGCTATTTGTATGACAGCTTCCAAGGGTAAGACAGCCCATATTATTTCAGACCAGGTCCTAACTGCCTTCTGTAGTCTTGGTGAGTGTTGCTTTCCTTCCCCACCTGCATGAGCTTGCTCTCCTGAGCAGTTTCTCTATGCTCTGTAGGTACACAGCAGCTGGCCTCCTTGTCAAATAACCAATAAATCTGTGCTTGGCACTAAAGTAGTTTTCATCAGAAAGTGACCTTAAGATAACATTTACATTGCTGAAGAAGTTATTCCGAATCTGAACTAGTAGTATCCCAACTCAGGCCCTCCTGGTGGCTCAAGGCCGGAAAGCTAATGAAGTGTGGAGCTTATTAATGGCTTTATCTTCTCTTTCACCCATCCCCTCTCCTTTTTCAGACTTGAAGTTATGTTCAGCAGTGTCAGATCTGCTCATCTATTTTTGACATATAAATAAAACCCATCCCTTTGGAATTTGTAGAGGAAATGTCCATGTGATTATGTTAGCTCGTGTCTACAAGCAACCAGAATTGAGCTAGGAAGGCACTCACGGGGAAGAAAATCAGCAAAGGACCCACCTTTCTCAGGTAAATCACAGTTCCCTGTGGTTTCAAGTGACAACAGAGGAAAAGTAATTTTAGCTTTTCATGGCATCATTATTGGCATTAGCAGTTTTTTTAGAACACACAAGCACACAACAAGTTGTAGGACATACTCACAGTTTTCTTGTCAGTGACCTTGTGAACTTCTGCTTAGCTGACTCCAAAGCAAGCAAGAAAAATTCCTGTAAAGATATTATAGATCAGAAACACGGGGGCTTAAATTGCTTTTTAAAAAATAATATTTACTCTTTAAAATTATAATAAGCACTTCTTTCTAGAAAAATTAAAAAACCCCACAAATTAATAAATAGGACACACAACTCATTTCTTATTCTATCATCCAGATATAGACAGTAGCAACTCATGGAACACTTAGATTGTTCTTGTGATTATATATATATATATATATACATTAATTTGCAAAACATCATATTGAACATTCTGTTTTGTGATCTGCTTTTGTCTCATTAAATAAGATATGAGTATCTTTCGTCGGTGAAAACTTCATTTGCATGCAGACAGTTCTGAGATGGTTCCTAAGATCCCTGCCCCTTCCTTGGCTAATCACTGTGTTCATCACTGCCCTGAGTGTGGGCTGGATTTCTGACTCACTTCTAACCAATAGGATAAGCTGAGTGCTGAGCTGTGCTTTGTGAGATCAGGTGATGACAGACTCTGTCTGCTGTCTTGCATACCCTTTTGTTCCCTGGCTTGCTTGCTGTGATGACACCAACAGTCATAGCATAGCCTGTCCTACAGAAATGCCCGCCCTGCAAGGAAGCCAGAGAAACCTCTGATCCCGGCTGGGGAGCAACGAAATCCTGCCAAGAACCACTTGAGTGGGCTTGACAAAAGATCCTGTCTTTCAAGTCAGGTTTCAAGTTTAACCTGGAGATGACTGAGGTCCCTGAAAATTCCTTCACTGTAATCTTATAAGAGAATCAACGATGCACACAGATCCCTGACCTGCAAAATGTGTCAGATAATGTTTGTGTTTTAAGTTAGTTTTTTAGGGTAATGGAGCCCTAGGTAACTAGCGTAAAGCGTATAGTCTTGTAGTTAGCTGTTGAATATTCCGAATGTAAGGCTATATTGTAATTTACTCAACCTCTTATTGTTGTCCATTTTGGCTACTTTATTTTCCTATTACAACCATTGCTTTGATGAACACTGTAGCTATCTTGTTACATATTATTTACTCTAAAATAAATTTCTCAAAATAAAATAGCTTATTTCAAAGGGTATGTACCTTTTAAGGCCTTTGACATGCTATTTTTTTTTTCTTAATCACTTTGTGGTAGGATTGTACTCATTTATACTCTAGCTGCCTGTGGCTTAAGGTGCAGATTAGGTTAATTTCAGTCATTTCATTTTTAATTGTATCTTTGGGCAAACCAGTTAGAAACCAAAACCAAAATTCAAAAAAGAATGAAAACTAAGGTTGAATCTTGAAATATACTAGATAATTGGATATTAAACAGTTTATTCACCACTTTTTGAAATCAGCCTGATGAACTCAACCAACCTGAAATTGCTCTTCTTATCTTTTAGTGGGCATTAAAGTCTGGAAGCTATGAAGCTTGTAGTCTCTAAGAACTTTGCTAGGGGAAGCAACAAAATTGAATGTGAAGTCAACATAACAACAAGATATTCTGAAAATCTTACGTACATTTCAGTCATGCAAAGGACTGTCAATAAAGTACTGAAGTTGAATAGACTGAACACAATGGATATTCTTCTGGAGGCAGTTTGTGTACATAGATACTACTGCCATTTCCAAGCTGCAACCCTCATTGTTGGGGAAGAATAAATATTTTAATGATTGCTATATATTTTAACAGGCTCTGAACCTTGTGGTTGGTTTAAGCTAAGGGTGCAATTTCAGGCATCTCAATAAGTAAATAAATGAGGAAGAAAATCCATGTTAATTGCAGTAATTTGTGGTACTTTCAAATTCTTAATTAAGAAATAAAATAGGATTCATTAGCCATGGCCACTGTGGATGGCATACATAGATCACCATTATGACCAGTCACATGGACCCAAAGTCATTCCCACAAATGAGAAAACAGTGAGAAATCAGAACTGCATTACTCGCCAGAATGTGCAGGCGAGGAGGGAGGACGGAGCATCGCACAATGCCTGCCCTCCACAAGGGCTCCTCTCCCTGCCCTGGAGATGGTATTATTATAAACCCTGTCCCCTGACCCTGGATTCCTGCTCTTTCCTCCTAATCTGTGGGATAAGTTCTTACTTTAAGGCTCTCTACAAAATTTCTTTGAGTCTGTCTGGCAACCCCACTAGTGCCTGCGTCTTCAGCTTTTCCCCAGCTTCTTCCTTACTGGTCTTCGTGGACTTCAATTATTTCTACCTCATTCTCTTTGTGAGTCTCAGAATTCTTCCACAAAGGAGTGCAGAGGAGAATTTTGGTTATAACCAGAGGCATTCTGACTCATACTGCACTTAGCAAGTTAAGCATTCTATTCAAGTGGGGAGAAAATATAATTTAAAAATAATTTTTGACTAGGACAAATGCTTAACTGGATGAGACATCAGATACTAACTGGAATGGTTCCTAGAAAATCAGGATGTTAGATGCCCTTATGAAAAATTATACAGACTCTCAGGGCAAGGGTTGGGAGGCAGTGACAGCAGGTTTTCAGGCCTGTGGAAGACAGCTCTGCTTTGTCGAGGTGAGTCATAGGGGTAATATCAATGTGTATCTGCAAGGAAGATGCTGTTGTATTTGCATCAGTGGCTGAGATGGCTGACTGTTGGGTTTCTGGTAAGACTGTTAATGCAGACTGTTGTCAGGTCTTCCCTTCCTTGCTGTCCTACCCTTTGTAGTGTTGATGTCTAGGCAGGAAGGCATGCTCTATTCAAGACACAGGCATGTACAGGTCTGGGTAGGTGCCTGCAGCCCCATCAGTAGTGAGAAGTTTACAGAAAATGAGTAATTTGGAGAAATCTGAATGACTTCAGACAAAGAAAGAAAATGATCCATTTCTGATCTCATCAGTAGTGAGAAGTTTACAGAATGTGAGTAATTTGGAGAAATCTGAATGACTGCAGACAAAGAAAGAAAATGATCCATTTCTGATCTCTAAAAGGAATATAGAAGAATCTGATCTGGAATTAGACAATGTGTTTTGAGAAGGTGGGGCAGTTAGTTGGTATTGCCAATTGACTAGAAGAAAGTCATAAATGAATATTTGATCTTTTAAATACCTATTATATCCCCAAAAGGAAGTCATGAGAGTAGCCTGAGATATACTTCTTATGCTCATGGGATTAAGGTACAGATTCCTTGAGTCATGAGGCAGATATGTGCCCTCTTTTAGCTCTAATGAGACATGCTGGGTTTTGCCTGGCAGCCCACTTCTTCTACCCCCATGGAATTTATGGGGCTACAAGAGGAGCACATGCATGGCAGCCCTCTACTTATAAAAGGACCCTTGTTCTTGGCTGCATCTGGACAGATTCAGACCATTGTGGATGCGGGGGGGGGGGGTCTGCTACTGGGTAATATGAATGATTAGCTCTATCCCTTATAAAAACAAGGAATAACCCCCCCCAACATTCTGCCATCAGTTTTGCAAAAATGTACCATAAAGAAGATAAGAAAAAAAAAAAGAAAAAAAAAAGAAGACAAGGAGTTTTTTAAATCTCTGAAGTAAGCAAGGAGAAAAAAAAATTCAAAATCTATTCATAAAAACTGAGGCCGCATACCAGACTAGAATAAAAAGGCCCACTCTATGAAGCATTCTCATAGAATCCACTGTTTACAATGCACCAGGTACTCCACCTTGGCTCAGATAAGAAGTGGGAGCAGGATGCCAAGAATATAAAGCATAAATGGGGTAAAAGTGGACCAGAGATGTTCGAATCATGAAAAAGGCAATGGAAAGTATGCTTCATTATGCAGTAGGAAAATCTGGGAGGATTCCTTGCTGAAGTTCTTTTGAAAGGCTTTAAATGCAATTATGTTCCTACTATTCCATTTGAGAATTGTTACTCATTCTTTCATTTATTCATTTCTTGTAACATATACTTATAGAGCATTTTCTCTTTCCCAGATATAGTATTAAGTTTCAGAGTCTGAGAGGAAGTCAGTCGCAGGTGCACAGAGTTTTAAAAGGACTTCTACTTTTAATACACCAGTGCTAAGACTGCCCTGCCTGCCTCCTTGAATTCAGTCCAAAACAATAAGAAAAATGTGAAACAAGTGCAAAATTCACCTGTGTTGAAGAACAGCTGCCAAAAGCAATGAAGTTCCAACCAAGGGCAGGTAGATGTTGAAATCAATCTGCTGCCAAAGACCTCAAGTGAAACTGGCAGAGCCCAGTCTATTAAAAAGAACAGCAGCAGCACTCTCTTTTGAAGAACAACTGCTCAGAAGAGAATAGGCTACTGGGGAGAGCATCCCTGGGCCTCATTTGGCTTTGGAGAGGATAGCGGAGAGGCAATAAATAAGACAACAACTAGGTCTGCCATCTAAGCATATCTGCCAGAAAAGAAGGCCAGAGAGGAAAAGTTCCGTTTAATTAGTCTTGCAACTGCCCATCCCTTCCTTCTTCTGGAGAGAAAGACTACGTCATTTCTGTGCATATACACACTCATATGTATGTGCACTCATACACATGGACGTACAAACAACCCTGGGCAGTGCAGGGCACGTGCTATGAACAGAAAGTGTATCCAGTACCATCATGGGCTGACTGCTATCCCCATAAACTTTCTCAGAAGAAAGAGCTTATCTCAGTCAAATAGGAGCCAGGATGTAAAAGAAACCATCAGCAGAGCTCTACAAAGATATTGTAAGACGAGACTAGTAATCAGAGAAAACAAATTAGATGAAGAACATGTACCAAGTGGTACTGCCATCAAGCAAAAGGAAACTATGCCAAGATAACAGTCACAGAGCCAACAAATAAAGAACAGCAGCTTTTAGTGAACAAGAGAAGAACTCCACGAAGAAACATCAGGACAACTGAAAGCGGTGTTTAAAAAAACGAGCTAAAGGAGTTCAGGAAAGGAGAGGAGAAATAAGAAGTCACTCCAAAAGTTAAGAACCCACCAGAAGCAACAAGAGGTGAACATAGACTCCTCAAACTACAGAAAATCAGGTAAGGAACAGAATTAATGAGATGAACAGGACACAGATAATATAGAGGTAGAAAGG